CTCCCTCCAGAATTCCCAGGTAACAACCTAATTTACATATGAATGACTAGCCAATTTAGCTTCCACTTCGCTGAAGCTAAAGCCTAGCTAAAAGCCATTTGGCTGCTCTCCGGGTTTTAAAGGTAGAAAAGCCAAATGGCTGCTCTCCGGGAGTTTAATTAATAAACCATGTGACTTGGCTGGATTAGATGCCGGCAGACTCCCTCATCGGCACCAATATTCCTAATGTAACACGCCCGGTGTAGTTCTTCTGGCAAGAACTTGGTCACTTAAAACCAGTACAACAGTAAAACATTTTACATGAGGTGGACAGTTTATTGCTTGGACGTGGAGCTGGGGTAATCCACAAAACCTTCTTGATTTGCGACTGCAGAGCAGGTACATGAATAGGCATGCTGCGGCTTGTTCGGTCTCACTCTTCTTCACATTCTTCACAAGTTTATCCTCCTTAGGGCTCAGAGTCATTCACAGACCACCTTTTCTTCATCTGGAGTGTTAACAAGCTGTATAGAGCAGATCCTCGTACCCAGATTCTGCAATGGCCAAATTTAGAAAAGATTTTCTCATCAGTCCGGAACTTCTAAAGATGTGTTCTGTGTGGGCAAGGGCTTTCAATTATGGTGGTTTTTAGGTGAATTTATGATGATGGAACTTTCAGGTGTCTGTATGATAAAGAGAAAGAGAGAAGTGTTTAGTCTGTGTATTATCAAGTCAAGTGTTTGCTTGACTCGTGAAACAAACAAACTGAGACTGGACACTTGTAGATGCACGAGGGGGGCGACAGCTAAGCTGGGTTAGAACAGATCTAACCCAGGCAGCTGAAAAATCAAGCCACTGTTGCAGTCCCCAATCTGCAGTTGCTCTAATCAGGTCCCTTGAGTATGTTTACAGCCTGTTAGAGAAAATGCCCAGGGTCTCTGTGGCAGAATGAATGGCTGTAGTCAGCTCTTATCAGTCCAAAAGTTATGGCTGCGTAGTCCATATCTTTGGGTAAGCTTTCAAGTGGAGTGGAGTAGAGCTCGCTTTACACCCTGGGCTGTGTATCTGAACTGTGATCTTTTCCAAAACCTAAGTAGTTTTGTTGCTTAGACCTCCATGTATCAGACAATACAGCAGAAATAGAGGTAGTCAGTAAGTGAAAGTACATTTAAAATCCATGCGTCAAACAAAATGTCTGTGTTGACAGTCATGTGGCCTAAATCTTTTTTTTGCATCGTTGTGGAAATTTGGGGATTTCTTGGGACTGTTATAAAAGCATACATCTTTTATAACTTTACGAAAACAAGAATTTGGTGCATATGTTTGAATTTATTTTGGACATTCTCTAATCCGCACCGTGTCAGAATTATACACGCATGCTCCAATATATAGATCAACCACCCCTATTAATATTAATGTCACGGCGAGTGAGATGAGCCGTGTGGGAAATAAAGGAGGATCCAAAAGCAGGCACTTGTAAAGGGGTGAGGGTGGTTTATTAAATACGAAATAAATATAGACAAACAGCAAATGGAGCACGAACTAAACTAGACTGGAAACAACTAAACTACAGAGCAGAAACCTGGACAAGAATGAGAACGAGCAGAGGAGAATGACAATGGACAGCAGGGAGAACACATGGGTGAGACATGGTGGATACACAGACGGACCAGCAACTACAAACAAGGAAGACGCGACTTAAATACACACAGAGAAACACAGGGAGATTACACACAGGTGGGGAACACACACTCACATGAGACTCAGACCTTCACAATAAAACAGAAACCATCACACAAAGACGCAGACTCGACACTGAGAGACAGACAGAAAAAACAATATTGTTATTATTGTTTTATAGTATTGTTCTGTTTGTTCTTATCCTCCTGCTGCTAAACTAATTTCCCCTTGTGGGACAATAAAGAAATTGAATTGAAAATGACACATGGAACTAAACTAAACCTGCAAAAACATGACAACTCAAAATACTGGGTCAAACTGACCCAGAACCATGACAATTAATGTAAATGTCCTTTAGCCAGTTGCACAACAACCAGGTGCTTTTCATAGCCAAGAACCGTCTTATGGTTGGATGCTTGAACCCTCTTCTTGGCTGAACTGGTAAAGAGTCATTCGTCTCAAATTCTGTAGAATTTTAGCTTTAAATATCACACATACTTTACATACTACATACTAACATTTTCAGTGGCCTTTCTTGCCATCAAAATAAACCTGGATCTGTAATTTGGGACCGGTACATTGAAAAAAAATGTCTGCGTGCTGACAAGTTAAAAATATATATATATTTTTTTAATACAGGAAGTGCAGAATTATTAGGCAAATGAGTATTTTGTCCACATCATCCTCTTCATGCATGTTGTCTTACTCCAAGCTGTATAGGCTCGAAAGCCTACTACCAA